AGCACGGCACAAGTCACAACTATGACCTAATGTTATACAAAACAGCGTTGAGGGATGGGTCCGTTAAATAACATCACCAATTAAAAATGATAGCAATTTGGCATCATTGGGCAAACGGTCGAAGCTGTTTCTTTTCGGAGACCTTAGCTCCAAGAACGTTTTTACGCTTCAAGTCCGACCTCCGGATTTCCCGTACCAGTTTGACGTCATACATCACGTCACATTCGGCCGAAATCGGCGAGAAAAGCAGCTGCCAGATGCCGCAACAGCGTGCCTGGAAGCGAATCAGAATCCTATTGAATTTCGGGAGCTTCCAGGAAAGAGTATAGCAAGGATTCAAGCGGTCGTAGGACAAATCATTAAAAGTAAATAATTGAAAAATATGCCTTTAAGTTGTCGAATTTAAGCTTTTCGCTCCTACCAAATCTTGCAAACGACAAGAAAACACTGGATGGACCATGCGGCTATGCACAAAACTCGCACACGATACGGGTGACGACAAAAAAGGGAAGAAAACAAAAATAAGATCCAAGTCATTGACAGAATGCCTACACATGAAATCATTGCCAGCCCACTGCAGAGCCACTGGGGCAGTAGGCATCTTAAAATGTATCCATGTGGACTGCGGACAGTCTAGTCAAGTTTCTGTGGGGACCGATCAGTTCCCCGTAGAAACAGTCTCCAGAGGAGCCAGTTCTGGTGTGGACAGTTGGTCAGCCTCTAGTCATGCCTTTGTGTGGATCAATCTCAGGTCATTTCTCCGTAGGTTATGAGTAAGGCCAGTCTGTCAGGTCTCTCTGAGGAAAGTCCCTCGCCAGCTCAGCTCTTTGGGGGGGGGGGGACAGCCCCTGGCCCCGGTTCTATCCGGTCGTGACCGAGAGCCGGCGGCCGCGCGGGCCCATCGATCGTCTGACCTCGGCCGTCGCACGCCACCCCCGCCTCGTTAGTCGGTGTCACTCTGACACGGACGCCGGTGACAACACGGCGTGACGTCAGAACGATGACACCGACGGCCGGCAGTCAGGCCAAATCGCCGGATTAAAAGAGAATAAACGCTAACGTGCGTATGAGGTTCTTCCAAAAACGGATGGCTCCGCTCGTTAAAAATGAACGAAAAACGATAGGACCGACCGAAAAGCACGATTAAACCCCTTGTCTGCACTTCAAAGCATTACGCGCTACAATCTGTCACGTCTTGTTGTTTTTTTGGGGGCATGTAAAAAACCCTTTATCAGTCGCTTTCAACCTCAAATTTCTACCAGGGATAAGACACAATTCTACGCAATGAAGCCGTGGCCGCGGCTCGGGTGTGCCCCTGCCCTGGCTGTAGCGGCTAGGGTATATGCTTACTGCACAGTGCACAATGTGAAGTGCGGCGTGCCCCATGCACAATTTACTCCGGGGCCTCGGATGGGATATCCCGTATAGCTGTGGTTACAAAACCTTTTTACTCCGTTTGGCCGCGACTGCGAGATGCCTATGCCTAAGGCCGATATAAATGGCTACATTTTTCAGCAAACATTCATCAACTGGTAGGCTTTAAACACCTATCTCGGAGCTTTTTCTGGTTGATTGGTAGGAATGAACAGGAACGAATGCGTTTTTTTGCTACGTCATACGTGCAGTGCTTTTTTGAGAGTATTTTAATTCATTTCCTCTGACGCGGCACTCAGAATAGTTTCATCTGTGGATTGTGGAAGGTGTTTTAATTGTCAAATACAAATACAAATGCGTTTTCTTATATTTGAGCAAGACCATTATGCACGTAAATGTAGATAAATGGGGCTGACAAGCTTCAAAGCAAGGCAAAGTGGCAAGTTTTCGTGTAATTTAACAGACATTTTTTAATCTGGTCTTTGAAGTGCATAAAATGTAATCATTTCAGTCTGTCATGTCGTGCACGGTTGTCCGACAACCATATCACTTCTCTGAAGTGGCCACGGACTCATAGGCGTAGGAACAGGGGGGGCCGGGGGGGCCATGGCCCCCCCACTTTCGGAGGTGGGGGGGCCAGCAATGTTAACTGGCCCCCCCACTTTTCGCTGACTTAAGTGTCTGTCTGTACCTACCACCCGGTACCCTAAACACCAGAACTTGACAACTATTCAGTTTGCCCTTTAGTGAAGATTCCCTTTTGTTTCTACAGCGTTATTGACCGCAATTTCCTTCACTCAATGAAGAAAACCATATCAGAGACAAGACTTTGAGTCCTGGTGCCGCAGCATTTTGTTGATTACGATGCACGAGACAGGCGAGCACTGAAAATGTATAAGACAATACTAGCACGGTGCAGGAGAATGCGTATACAAACGACCAACGCTTGACCAGATCTGCTTGGGGTCGGCATAGTTCGTCAAAGGCGTACTAGCTGGGGGCCAGGGTGACCGTGCCCCCGCCTCGGTTCAAACAGGCTGGGGGCCAGCAATGTCTGTCTGCCCCTCCATTTGGCCCCTCCCCCGAACAAACGATGGGCCCCCATGGGTGTATGGGGCTCTGGCACTCGATTGTCACGAGGCTCAAGAATCCAACGCCAGCTATTAACAGCTCCCAAACCAGTCTTTGAGGGTCCTACACTGATCTCGGAGGGCCCTTCAGTGGCGGTCAAGCGCCCACATTGACCACTGAGAACCCACATTGACCTCTGAGGGTCCTCCACTGGCATTTGAGGGCCCCTAAACCGGCCTCAAGGGCCCAGCCGGCGTCTGAGGGCCTCACACCGGCCTCTGGTGGCCCCATTTCTGTCTCTGGGGTCCCAAGACTAACCTTTAGGTGCCTCTGAAGGCCCCGCACTAAATTCTGGAGACCCGATGCCGGCCTCTAAGGGTCCGCATCGGCCTCTGAGGGTCCATCTTGGCCTTAGGGGTCCAGCGCCGGCCCATGCCGGTCTGTTACGGCCCCACACTGACCTCTAAGAGCCCATGCATGCTGGCCTGTAAGGACCCACATTAGCCTCTGAGGGCCTTGCACTGGATTCTGAAGACCGATGCTGGCCTCAGAGGCCCATCTTGGTTTTTGAGGGCCTTCTGCTGGCCTCTGGGGTCCAACGCCGACCCATGCCGGCATTTTAGGGTCCCACACTGACCTCTGAGGGCCCATGCTGGCCTGTAAGGACCCACATTAGCCTCTGACGGCCCAAGTCGGCATCTAAAGGTCTCAAACTGCTCTTTGCAGGCCCTGTACTGGTCTCTGAGGGCCTTAACCCTCGCCGGCCGAGGGGGCGGGGGGGGGGGGTGCCGCCCCTCCATAGTTTTTTTTTCGCGATAGCTCCAAACACGCCGGCGATAGAGAGCTGAAGCTTCGCATACCTGACCTTTGAATCAAGCCGGAGCTGTTGACACCAACCGCATTTTCGGGTCAGATCAGGTCACTGACCTATGAGGTCATAAGTGAACCTCTGCACGGTCTTCAGATGTCGCAACTTCGCAACGCCCTCACTGCCAGAGGAGATTTCACAGGGAAATGAACCTTGCAGGACCTAGTATCCATTAGGAGTCTCACAGCTTGTACATCTCGGATTTTCCTAAAGGTCATATGAGGTCAGGTCATTTTCGTGACCTTACCATTAGGTATAAGTCAATGGTGATAAACTGAAAACTTTTTTCCTGGCGCCGGGAACGATCTCCAACTATCTCAAGCACACCGAATCGTGATTTCATGCACTCCTTGCAAGGTTCGATGCGTCACTTTTGCAATGTTGACCTTGCGCGACGTCATTTACGGCGTTATAAGGGTCATATTAGTTTTTTTGTCAATAACTACCTAGCAAATTGAGGTAGTGGGTCGGGAAAGCCACCAATGGACTCGGGAAGACCTTCCGAATCAAATGATATGAGACATGACCTCATTCGACCAATTTCGTGACCTGGGGGCGCTGACCTGACCGTGACCCGAGGTCAACACCCTAAGGTTACCTCACCCAAACAAAAAGTATATCATTCGACGCGCCTGAGAGAGGCGAATACGATGCTGGCAAAAGCGCGGCTCTGCGCCCTGCGGCCGTTTCTTGCGAAGTTATTCACCAAAAACGAAACCGTCCCTTGAGGTACTTGACATGACCTCAGGTCACCGGTTGACCTAGGACCTTAAAATCGGGTATCGATCTCTGCGTCTCGTAACGGCGCACACGCTCGTTTTTTCCGCGACGCGGTAGCTCCACCTGGGGCGAAACGGCGAGGGGGGTCGTACCCGCTCCCCGCCCCCTCGGCCGGCGCGTATGTAGAAAACGTATAGGGCCGGGCCGGCGAGGGTTCAACTGGCCTCTGAGGGCCCAGACCGGCCTCTAAAAGTCCCACACCGGCTTCTGACAGTCAATTAGCCCAGTTGCAGTGGTCGCTGATATAAAACCTCTTAAAAACGTTACAGGCATGGCTGAGCCTAGCTGGGCCGTTCATGCTTATTTTTATAGGTAGGTATATTGAAAAGCGTCGCTTTGCACATTTCACGCTTGCTCGTAATGAAAAAGTTGCTGGATGCCTCTGGAATTTGCATGGGTGTCAACGGCTGCGGAGGACAGGGGAACGCGTCCATCAGTTTGAGTTAATTGACGGGAGTCTCCCTGAAATTTAACCAATTTTATTTTTGTTTTTGTCTCGATTTTTTTTTTACCTCTGAGCATGTTTGCGAAAACAAAGTGGCCGAAATCCGGGCAGAAATTGGATTTTGGGGGGAGGTTAGGTTTTAGACCTCTGGGAGCCTGGCCCCCCCACTTTCGAAAACGTTCCTACGCCTATGCACGGACTACTTGCATTTGTGACAAGGCCAGGAACAAAGCCATACAGCTGAATCAACTACTTCTGCCACCCAGAAGCCACCTGTCATCCTGTGACAACCTCTGAACAACAGTTCAACGGCCCCAACCGAACAACCAACGGACTGACACTCCGAGTCCGACCGACAACCAACCGACCAACCAATACCATCGCATAACAATGCAGAGGCCTGCCCTCTCCCGGAACCACCCGGACAGGTGCAGTAAGCTGACACCGGAAGTTACGCCTCACCTGGGTCTGGGGGTCATGTCAGGTGTCGGATGTCCTGGGGCGACCGATGGCGGATCGACTCGACACTGCTACAGCGTCCTCGGCACCGAGCGCCGGCTGTCTCGGTTCACACCACAGCGTCTCGGCTCAGAGTCGCACTCGCACGCGCTCTGAGCGGTCGGTCACACACGCACTGGTGGAGGAGCACGGCGGGCCGTTCTCTGCTGCGGCCGTGCCCGGTCGTGGCCCGGTGAGCCGCCTCGGTGAGAGGTCTCCCGTGAGCGGCCGCCAGCCGACGGTCGACTGTCACAGGGCCCAGCTTCTGCCCGCTCGCCGAGGCCGAGACGGCTCTGTTTAGCGCTGCTGGCCGCTCGCCAGAGGTGCACACACCACGGCGCGCCGGTCCCGCGTTTGCGGCCCGGCCGGCCGCACGCGCTGTCTGTCGGGTCGGCCGCTGACCGCGCGGCCGGCACGTGCGGCACGGGTTGCACACGCCGCCAAGCGCCCGACACGAGTGGTATCCACTGACAAAGGCCGGGACGTACCGGACTATCTGGAGCGAGACCGGCCAGCCGGGCAGCATGCCCTCTCTGTCCAACTGCGGCTACTTCCCAGGAGCCCGCAAAATCACCGACACTGTACTCAGAAGAAGCAAAGACGATTGCACGCCCACAAGTGGGACCATGGCGCACGAAGCGGGGACGGGTTCAGCACGGTGGGCGGACCGCCTGCCGTGGGTTTGGCTGCGTTCGTTGGTCCGTTTGCGCAGTTCGGTGCCGTTCTACGAACAGTGCGTCAGCGGCCGTCCCAGTAGGATAGCGGCGGAACCTCAGCCAGCTAGAGACGAACCCGGTCCAACTCTCGAATGCAAAAACTCCGACTGATCCCGCACTATGTCATTGATCGCTGAAACAATAACGACCTGAGAAAAGCATTTCAGAATAAGTTTTTCGACGCAGAGAGCCGTTTCGGAACGATCCGGTTCCAGTGTCCTTCACGGGTTCCGAGTTCCGGTCAGCTAGCCAAGCTGGCAAAGCGCCGCTTCCTTCTGGAAACGCAGAGCGGCCTCACCGCGATGTTCAGACTAGCGAGACGTGTCACCCGTTCTTTGGGAAGGTCCGGACCGGGGTACCAGATGTGTCTGTCACCTTGGCTGGCTGCGCCGCGGTGGAGGGCGGCGTCACGCGCCCGGCCGGCTCTGTTCCAGGTCGGATGGAGGCCAGACGACCCCCAGACAGTTCCGGACGGAGGAGACGCGCAGCGGCGGACACCGGACATGGCTGGGACCCATCTCATACCGAACGGATGTCACGTCTGACGTCCGTCTATGCTCATGGCGAAATTCATCCGCAGACCGAATCCACAACATGACTTTATTGGGCGATTTACTTCAAGGGACACCACAAGAATACTGCTGTGAACTGTTTACTTGGCAACCAAGACAGCGTCCTTAGTGTAATCACGACACACTTTTATTATATCTAGTCATCAAAAGCATTGTTTCAGAAAACAATTATGTTACCTTACTTTTTCCATTCGGCTGTCAATTCATGGCGCCATCGTGTTCAGGCGCAATTAGCACAAGAAGTGCGCATAATTAAATGCTGTAGGTATTTCAACCAATTCCTGATTCTCAGAAAGCATTCACAAGGTAAGTAGGGGCGGATGGAGAGAAAGTATCTAACCGGTGTCAGATGGTGGGTGGGGGGGGGGGGGGGGCGAGGGGCTGAAAAAGTATCCAGCTGCCGTCGATTACTGTCTGGTCGGCCGCCAGCCCCCGTCTGCAGTGTGGCAGGGCACGAGTCCCTGTCACCTCTGAGAACAAATGGCAGCACGGGGCGCCAGCACCCCGCGGGGCCCCTGTGCCTCCGGTGACCTCAATGGGCAGCCAACGGGGTCAGCCCCACCTCGCCGCCGGATCAGGGGGTGTCCAGAGACGCGTCATCCCACCTGGGTCTGAGCCGACCGGCGCTGGAACGTCCAGACACGCGTCACCACACCTTGACCTGGCCGGCCGGCGCTGAGGGGCAGCGGGACAGACCGGCCGGTGAGCCGTGGTCAGAGTGGCGACAGGTCAGAGGTGGGCGGCGCGCACGAGCCCCTGACAACGTCGCAGGGGCACCAACCAGTTCAGAAGTGCTTGCGAGATCGCATTGGGTATTTATAGAAATGCGCCTGCTCTGAATGAATTCAGCTTCCAGTACTCTAGGCCTTTTCGGACTTATGGTTGGCATAATCCGCAAGGTCATTTCGTGTCCAGTCAATTCGCTTGGATCAGTTACCTCTGTGCTGCTACTTCATGTGCTTTTCGATTTCATCACATATTTGTGAAATGAGCGGCGCTTCGTGAATCTAATAATACCGATGTACAATCGATTTGAGTTGAGAACCTTGCAGTCCTGCTGTAGCAGGACAATTCAGAAATGTGCTACAAATAACCGCATTTCAAGTGCATCAACCTATAGGTTAGGTGGTATACCATGTCTCAGAGGACTGCATCTCTCCTAAGCCGAAGGCTCTGGAGGGCTGCGACGCTAGGTACGCGACCGCAATGAGCTGCAGGGAGCCGCTGGCCGTTAATTCGTCCTCGCCTTCCTCAGGAAAAACCCATCCACATCCCCCCACGCTTCACCTTCTGGACTAACAGTCACCTCAACCAGACAGCCGGTGGAGAGAGCGGTCCCACACGCACCAGGGCCACTTGCTCTCCCGGGGTGACCGTCTGGGCGGCGGGGCGGACTGCCTCATCGGGACGTTCCTGTCCCAGTGGGACGGTCTCTGCCGCTGCGGCGCACCGTCGGTGGCCCGCACAGTCCAGTGTCTACACCTTATTATCCTATAATCCTAAATCCCTGCAATGGCCTCTTCAGGCTTGATCTCAACAAAGCAAAAACCAAACACTCGCCGCTGAACCACAGGGATCGCTATAAATACCTACATTATTCTCACGATTCAAACAGTTAAGAAACACCTCATATAATTCATTAATCAGAAATACGATAGTCTCTTCCATCTCAATTGATGTAACAGATGATGCTACAAAACTTTCTAGCCTTTTTCGGTTCGCTTGGTCTATACAGGCCATTACTTTCCGTTATCACTTATCACAAGGCTCAAGTTTTAGAAGCGTCATATATCTGAAGCAAAGTTCCCTAGCAGCATAATGCTGGAAAAGAAGAGATGGAAACCAGGACAAAGTCCCCCCAGACTCCAAAGTTCATCTGTAGGTGGTTCCCTCATGTCACATTTCCTCGGCGGCGTCGGTTGCACTGCAGTAATTGCCGTGTCAGTTGTCTGAGGGCGCCACTGTCGGACTGACACGACAACGGAGGGCGCTGTCTGTACCGCCCAAAACACCAAACAGTACACCATTCGGCGGTGTCACTGTCAAAGGTCACCGGTGGGATCGAAAATAGTCCACAATGGCTCCCAATAGCATACACCCAAACCAAACAACTTAATTGGTATTGGCTACACAGCCATGGAGACCAGTGACAACTCACTTTCATTATGCAGTACCTACCCTCTAAGATGATTAAGCCTATGCCCTGTTAACTCTTGGTAAAATGATTTCACATGTTCCCAGCACTCTGAATGGGTATACTTTCAAGAAAAAATATACTCACAAGTAGCCCTTCATCATATAAAGAAATACATTTAAATAATAAATTAAGTAGGCTCCTTTAACAAGTCTAACTAAGCCAAGATTTTAGGAGTTAAGCATCATCTGCCACCATTTTGAGAAAAAAAGGATAGAGCCACTAATTTCCTACATTAAATCAAAAGCACAAGTAGGAAGCATTGGCAGCTCTGTACACTTCTGACTGCTATCTGGTATATGGTATAACAGGCATTTGTGGATCAACCAACATATCCTGAGCTGAGCATGTAACCTAACTATTGACTATTGTATACATAGTGCTGCTCACTGTGCTCAGTGCTCACAATAATTGCATATCAGAGTCTCAGCAAGCCCAAGGTTGACAATCATACCTGTCCTAACAATTTCATCTTGAAAGTGTTGAGGATGAGAACTCACAAATTCACAATAATTGCATATCAGAGTCTCAGCAAGCCCAAGGTTGATAATCATACCTGTCCTAACAATTTCAACTTTAAAGTGTGGAGGATGTAGGAGCCCTTACGCATCCAGTAAACATGACGACGTCGGCCCGACGTCGGGCCGAGGCTCGGCCCGACGTCGGCCCAACGTCGGTTCAACCTCGGCCCGACATCGGCTGGACATCGGATATGCCCGCATGTTCCGACGTCCAGCCGAAGTCCAGCCGACGTCGAGCCGACGTCGGGCCGAGATCGTTTGCCGAGGTTGACGAGATCGTTTGTCGTTGGACCGACGGGGCCGACGTCGGCATGTTTATTGGGACAACGCGCAAAAAATATCAACCGGCGGCGGGATTCGAGCCCCCCAGTCGCCGACGTCGGCATGTTTACTGGGACAACACGCCAAAAGCATTAGCCGGCGATGGGATTCGAACCCGGTGCTATACGAACGCGAGGCTAATGCGCTAACCACTACACCACGCAGCCAGCTAACGAATATTGTTTGTTTTGTTGTGTTATGCCCTTTCGGTCTGACAAGACCATTTCAGAGCCGGAAGGATCATAGGATGGAGACATTGGTCTTCTTGGTGAGCACCCTGGGTCCAGTTCATATAGAGTCCCTGGTCCCATTGCTGTTACGTGACACTTATTGGAAAGGGCGACCCCACAATGGATTCATATAGCCACTCTTACACACCTGCACCAACATTTCCCAAAGTGTCCCTTTGATAAGTGGCATTTTGGCAAAGTGACACTTGCCGACTGGCCTTTCTATATGAACTGGGCCCGGCCCTGGTGAGTTGACGGGGCTGAGCCTGACCAAAGGATAGGCCGAGCAGCCCCCAAGCACTCACCGCACCCGGCTACGGGCGAGCTCGGCTTACGGGCAATCCCAAATGGGATAAAGTTTCCCGTCCAGTCCGGATCAGGGGGTTGCGGCGTGGAGTAAGATTTGAGTTTCCTGAGGATATTTTGAATACAGAGGCTCTTTATGAAACATGAAACATGTATTTTATATTATTTTAACGGTTAAAACAGCGGCCGATGTCGGTCCGACGTCGCCCCGACGTCGGCCCGACGTCGGCTGGACCTCAGCAATTGATCTCGGTCCGACGTCGGCCCGACGTCGGCTGGACCTCGGCTGGACGTCGGAACATGCGGGCATATCCGACATCCAGCCGACGTCGGGCCGACGTCGGCATGTTTACTGGGCACCATGTCATGATGCAGATTT